GACCTTAGTGGTTTCTGCCAGGATCAGCCTCCGGCGCACCGAAGGAGACTCCGCCACCTGCACACACAAGGCTGGATTGTGGAGCAGGGGCTCCGCAAGGAGGTCTACTCCCTCGGTGGTCATGATGGACCTGGTTGCTGAGAACAGGTTCCAGGTCTAGAGGAGTTCCTGGTAGAATCCTGGCAGCTCTGAGAGGTCTCGCAGAAGACCCCTCGGGTGAAGAAAAAAGAGCTGCTGGTCGTATCGGAGCCCTCGGAAGCGGCGGAGGAAGGCGCTCCTCAAAGTGCTCCATGCTGGACTACCTGCACTAAAGAGGAGTCTCTGCAGGGCCTGGATGCGGAAGGTCAGGACCTGACTGTGCATACAGATCAGGCCCTGGCCTCCCTCCTCCAGGGGAAGAGACAGAACCCCTGTAAAGACCCAGTGCAGTCCTGGCCAAAAGAACTCCAAAGCTATCCTATGGAGTTTGGCCACAACCTCTGGGGCTGGCCTCAGGGTATTGAGCCGGTGCCAGAGCACGGATAGGACCAGTTGGTTCAGTATCAGTGCCCTCCCCCAAAGGAAAAGACACCAGAGCAGTCCTGTCCACTTCTGCAGCTGCTCACCCACTCTGGCCTCCAAACCTTCCTAGGCTGGGAAGCCTTCCCCCAACCCCCATCATCCTGTGAAATTACAAAATTCAAGAAGGATTCTAGCAGAGGTGAGGGTCCATGAGTCAGGAGCAGTGTAACTTGACTGCAGGAAGACAATTCTTGATTCAATTGTCTCTTGATAGTGGGCTATTAGCTCTGTATCTGGCTTCTTCATAGTTGTTCCTGATGGGCTAGTTTCTCATCTATGAACACATTAACAAATTTGCAATCAGTATTCCTAATTTCAGATACAGAAATGGTACATGTATCCAAATAACAGAAACTTGCAGACGATTACAACTTCTCCAATGGTACCGCAAAGTACTTTGCATAAAGCATTTTCCAGTTATGCATATTAATAAGCATATTTCCATAAATAATGAGAAATCCACTGTTACACCGGTAATGATAACTACTGCATAGGAAATGATCTCACTGTAGGTCAGCCATCACAATATGGGTCAAACTGTATTTATTATTGCTGAGAACATTTATTTACTCTAACAGAACATTTACTGCCCTAGAAGTAATGTTTATTCTAGATTTTTCTTTTGAAACTAGCTATCAAGCACATAATGAATAGAGTGCTCCTGCTACAGTTTTTGTACAGTTTCAAGGAATGATTGCTTGTGTAAAGGGTCAGAATGAAGAAGAGCTGAGTGTTATTCATTATTTTTAATGATGCTGGGTTATTAAAGAGCTATAAGTATGGCATAATGGTCAGCAAAATGACCAGCATCTTTTCCCTGCTATTCCCTTAGGTTTGATATTTTTACTATTGCATTGACAAAAAGGAAAGTTATTGCTACAAAAGTTAGCACAGCAAAATTGTCAACTAATTTCTGATTGCAGAATTTTAAAATATTACTAGGGATGATGTATATGTCAGAAAACAATCTGTTGTTCAGCTCACATGGTAAGGTTGCATCACTGAAAGTTGGGAAAATCAATTTTGACTAGGGTACTGACTGAACATGGTGTGACTCTCATTGAGTGAGAATTAAAATGGAACTCAACAATGCCCTTCTTAAATTCATGTCTTTATCTGGAATGCCAGTTTAAGTTCAAACACTTGGGCTGTGTCTAGACTGCATTCCTTTTCCGTAAAAGGGATGCAAATTAGACACATTGCAATTGCAAATGAAGCGGGGATTTAAATCCCCCCTGCTTCATTTGCATAAACATGGTTGCCGCTTTTTTCCAGCTCAGAGCTTTGCCGGCAAAAAGTGTTAGTCTAGACGGGGATCTTTCGGAAAATAAAGCCTTTTCCGAAAGATCTCTTATTCCTCTTAAAAAAAGGAATAAGGGATCTTTCAGAAAAGGCTTTATTTTCTGAAAGATCCCCGTCTACACTGGCGCTTTTTTCCAGCAAAGCTCCGAGCCGGAAAAAAGCGGCAGCCATGTTTATGCAAATGAAGCGGGGGGGGATTTAAATCCCCGCTTCATTTGCAATTGCAATGTGTCTAATTTGCATCCCTTTTACGGAAAAGGGATGCAGTCTAGACACAGCCGTGGTCCTTGTCTATACTAAGATATCCACTGCTGTGTGTCAGTACAAATCTCTATTGCAGACACAATCTGTTGCACAAGATACATTAGAATAGATTTCAGAGATGAATCTTAGTCTTTTTAGCAAAAACAACAAGAAGTCTGATGGCATTTTAAAGACTAACTAATTTAATTTGTTAGTGTTTGAATGTCACCAGACTCCTTGTTTATGTATTAGAATAGTTTACTCTAGTTTGAAATTGTGTCAACATTAAAGTTTTATATGGTGCAACAGAGGCTTAAATATCTATGTAGTTAAGGCTTTTAAAAAATGTATTATAAGGTTTAGGTGATTTTAGATATTGTTTCCATGGAAACAATACACTAAATATATTATTCAGTTGAGATGAAATTCACCCTTGGACTGACAGTTCACTCTTAAATCGTGTTTTATTCCATTCATTGTAATAGAAGATAGGTCACTGAATGCTTTGAAAATCTCAAGCCCTGTATTATATATTTGTAATGCATTTTATATAAATTCTAGGCACACTCCATAGGGTAGTTCTTCAGTGTGGAGAGTCAACTCTATCATATCTATTTCTACACCCTAATGGTGACAAAAGAAGCTCTCTTACATTGGTGCACTTCTTAAGAAAATTAAATATACTACTGAAAGGGGGAAAAAAACCAAAGTGGAAAAGAAAGGAGAGAAGATTACTGAGACATGCTCAGAAGATATTGTAAATTATGGCATTGCACTCTCTGGGTTCTAGACCAAGGGTGGGAAATAATTTTTGATGGGGCCATTCCAAGATTTTGGAAAACGGTCAAGAACCGCACTCTCCCATGATATTAATAGAGGAGATACAGGGTCTGGGATGGAGGTTGGGTGGAGAAAGGAGCTTGGGGTAAGGGATTGGGGTGTAGGAGGGAGAATGGAGTCTGGGAGGGAGTTTGGGTGAAGGAGGCAATTGTGATTTAGGGCAAGGGACTGGAGTGCAGGGGTTTGGAATGTGACCTAGGGCAGGAGGGGATTGTGATCTGGGGCAGGAGATTGAGGTGCCAGATCTAGGAGGTGGTAGGCATACAAGAGGGGGAGGCAGGCTTGGGCATGTTGATGGGGGGGGGGCAAAGAGTTGGGGTTGCCAGAGGTACGCTCTGGCCAGGAGACTTTCCAGCCAGCAGTCAAACCAGCTTGCCTGCAGAGCTAAGGCTTGCAGAGCTTAAAATATTTCCCAGCCAACCTGCCTGGACTTGTGCTTGTGTGAGTAACTGAGCAGAGGCGGGACGTGTGGTTCTTCTTGACAGCCTGTTATTCAAACAGGCAGCTCCCATTGGCCACTTTGTGGCCAGAGTCTGACCAATGAGATTGTGCTGGGGGTGGAGGCAGCCGCATTTCTGAGTGGTGTTATGGGGCAAACAGGGGAGACTGTGTGGGGCTCCCTCCAGCCTGTGGGCCATATTTTGTCCATGCCTGGTTTAGACCCATAGGCTATGTCTACACTCGTGGCTTCTTGCGGGAGTAATATGCAAATGAGGCTAAGCGTGGAATATTGCCGAGCTGCATTTGCTTACCTAATGAGCCACCATTTTTTTCAGAAGAGGCTCTTGCACAAGAAGGAACGTCTACACTGCCCCTTCTTGCTTGTTCTTCCTGAAAAGTAATAGGTGTAACGGCTTTGCGCAAGAGGGTTTTACTTGCGCAAGAAGGGGCAGTGTAGACGTTCCTTCTTGTGCAAGAGCCTCTTCTGAAAAAAAGGTGGCTCATTGGGTATGCAAATGAGGCTTGGCGATATGCCATGCTTAGCCTCATTTGCATATTACTCCCGCAAGAAGCCGCAAGTGTAGACATAGCCGTAGTGTCCAACCAGTTCTGAAGTGGTAGCCACTATAGCGAACTAGCCACAGTCAACGAGGCAAATCATATGACTTAGACAAATGACTGTTTCAAGCAGTAAAGGTGGCAGTTGGTGTGGGAGTCACTGGATCAGGGAGCCCACAGTAACCAGCTACTTGGCTGGGTGTTTCACCCCCCTTTGAGTATATTGCATCCTGGGACGTGCAAGGATAACACAGACATGGAACTCGCAGGCGCTACTTGGCAGATCACTGTTAACCACCCGCGACAACGTGGGCAAGACTGAAAGGCAACAACCCCAGCGGCGAAGTGGCGGTGCGAATGCGCAGCCCACTCCTCAGCCGCCCGCTCCCTCCAGGCTCGGGCCAAGGGAGGCTGCAGCTCGCTGAAGGCAGCTGCTCCG